CAGTGGTTGCAACAGCGACTGATGTCACCCCTTTCCGTTCCATGTTGATACCTTCGTCGATTACTGATAATGCCTTGGAATACTTTGAAGGCCAAGTGTCTTCTTGACCAAGCAAGATGGTTGGCCCATAAAACCACATATTGCAGGTTTCTAGTCTCCCGGCGGCAGTCCTCGTGCTAGAATGTCAGCTGGGTTGTCTTTTGAGCTTATATGCCGGCATTGTTCAGCGGTAGTGTGCTCATGAATAACAGCTATACGGTTTGCCACAAATGTTTGGTATGATGCTGAGGATGAGTTAATTCATGCCAACACGATTTGTGAATCAGTCCAAAAGTATGTAGCCACATCGTCTAGCTTAAGGTCTGATTTGACCCTTGTAGTAAGTTGAGTACCCAGTACTGATGTACAGAGCTCAAGCCGAGGAATAGTTTGCAGTTTCAAGGGTGCCACACGAGATTTTGCACAGAGCAGCCTCACTTGTACTCGTCCCTCATCCAGCTCGGATCTAATGTAAATCGCAGCACCATATGCCTTTTCTGATGCGTCGGAGAAGACATGAATTTGAATTTTTGCTGGGATGTATCCTTCAAACACGTGCCGTGAAACTTGCATGTTGTCCAATTTTTGCAAATCATTTCGAAATGTTGTCCATCTCTCATTCAAATCGGCTGGTAATGCTTCATCCCATGTCAGCTTCAGTTGCCAGAGATCTTGAATAAACATTTTTGCCATGACTACAATTGGTGCTAGTATCCCCAACGGATCGAATAGCCTTGCAAGATCGGCGCTGACTGAGCGTTTAGTTGCAAGACTGCAGCTTCCTAGGCGTACCTTTACGCAGAATCGATCCATCTTAGGCATCCATGTTAACCCCAACGTTTTAATACTTTGATTGATGTCATTGTCAAAGTCTATGTCAACTTCTTGTTCCTCCATGCTAACATTTTGCAGTAATTGTGAGTGATTGGCGCACCATTTTCTTAGGTTAAGACCACGTTGTTTTAAGGTGTGTATCAGTTGCTGTTGGATTTCCATCGTCGTGGTTAAGCTGTCTGACCCACCAATTCCGTCGTCTACATAAAAATTGTCCTGTAGAAACTGAGCACCAAGAGGATATTGTAATGCATTTTCTTTTGCAATTTTCTGCAAACATTTAGGGGCTAAATATGGAGCAGATCTTGTCCCATGTGTGATTGTATTTAGCTGATAATGCTTTATTGGTAGGCTTGAATCCTCTCGCCAGATGATAAGTTGGAATTTGCGTTCGTCCGGTTGAATGAGCATCTGTCGATACATTTTTTCTACATCTGTGGTGAAGACGAACCTGGGCAAACGGAAGCGAAGTAAAATGGTGAAAAGCTCGCTCTGAACAGTGGGTCCGGTATACATGAGGTCATTCAAAGACATGCCAGTGGACGATTTTGCTGATGCGTCGAACACCACACGNACGTAATTTTTTCGGGTCTCACAATGCAATGGTGAGGAATGAAGTACCTAGGTTTGCTGATGGAATCAATATCCACTCGCGTCATGTGCCCCAAGTTCTCATATTCCTCCATAAATTGTACATATTGATTCTTTGTCTGGAGCGATTTTGCCAGTCGACGTTCTAAGGCCAGGAATCGATTATACGCCATCCCATAGGATTCCCCTAAGGCCTCCGGATTTTCATGAAATGGTAGCCTTACCATGAATCTCCCATTTTCATTGATGAGTGTATGTTGTGCGAAATGAGCTTCGCACTGTTTTTCTGCTACGGAATGTTGTTTTCTTACAGTTGCAACATCCTCAAGTTCCCATAATCGAGCAATGGCTGCATCTAAGTTGATGTCATCGTTGGTACAGATTCCACATATTGCATTTGAGATGTAGTTGCCACCAACTTTTCCCGCGATGATCCATCCCAGCACTGTATTTTGCAGAATGGGTAGGTCATCTGACAGTTTTATTTGCCCTGCTGCCATCAGTTGATTGTAGAATTCCGCCCCCAACAATATATCAATTTTGTCACGGCGATTGAATGATGGATCGGCTAACATGATGTTCTCAGGAATTTGCCATTCGTCGATCTTGATTTCTTGCGACGGCTGCGGGGATATAATCTGAGGCAATACCGCTGCCTCTAGCCGCGTTGTAAAGTTGTTGATCCGAGACTGTAGCGCCACATTGACTCGATGCTGTATCTTAGTGCTCCTTGACTCGATGCCACTAATGGAGATTGGTGATGGTTTAGTTGAGATGCCAAGACGTTTAACCAATCGTTCAGTCACAAAATTAACTTGTGAGTCTGAATTGAGAATTGCCCGACACTGCACTTCTGTTCCGATTCCTCTAACTTTCACCATGGCAGTGCTGAGTAGTACATATGTGTTTGACTTTGTGTGCTTTGCGGTGGTAAGTGACGCTGCTTCGTCTTTTGATGGCGTTGATTTGGTCCTGGATGGTGTAGTACTTTGCGATTCGTTGCCTTGTGTTGGAGTGGCTACTGATGTAATGTCTTTGCTCACATCCCTTTTTGAATCCTCGAAATGTAACAGCGTGTTATGTTTATTTGTTGCATTCCAGACAGTTTCTTAATAGACAATTTTTAGAACCATGCCCCGGTTTTAGGCAATTGTGGCAATATTTCTGCCCTTGTATGAACTGAAAGCGTGCCGATGGAGACTGTTGTAAAAATTCCTTGCAAGAAAATAATGGATGTTTTCCTTTTTTGCACATGCTGCAAGTGTCATTTCTATGACCCTTGGATGTGACTGAAGTGCACACCTTTGCAGTTGCGCTTGTAGATTTGTCTTTGGCACCCATCGCTTCCATGGATTGAAAGTGTTTCTCCAGAAATTGCAGGAATTCCTTGAGTGTTTGTACCTCCCGTGGCTTTGATAATGATTGTTCGTACCGCAAACGAGTCGGTTGATCCAGTTTCTTT